ACTTAGATTAGTGTTACTAAAGTATATTACTCCATTTGTTTCAGAGGGTCTTCTTAAAGAAGAAGACCTTCCTTAGGGAAAGGCAGAATCCGGTTCCTTGCCTTTGGGCACACAGTGGCTGTAGTAAGATAGGTAGATACTGCATGAATCAAAAGCATAAGCTAGTCAAGCGTCTGCTGCACTGGAGGTGGTAGAAGAGTATCAAACAAAATAATTTCATGCTTATAACCTGGGACAGCAGATGAGGCTCTCTCACCAGGCAGGCATTTTGTGTCTGTAGCACAGGGATGATTATACAGAACTTCCTTTCCTGCACTTTAAGATCTCTAATCCAAGTGTGTAAAATTAGGTTACACCATGCAGTCCATATGCAGGTGTAGTACTTAAAAAGCTCAAGGTGGTAAGAAAAACACAGGTCTACCTGTGCATCAATCATTTGGGGATTGATGGAATCACCTTCATTAGGGTGATTCATAATGAAGGAACAGCCTTCATTAAGGAGCTCTGTTTCTGAATCCAGATAATAAAATCCTGTACAGCTTTAAAAGCACTGCCTGTAGAATCCCTGATGTCCCCTCACATGATACCCTTCTAAGGAACTTCCACTCCACCCTCAACCTGGCCCAGCTAAGCTCATGAGTTTCAAGGAGCTCACAGCATAGCTATGATCCCTCCCAGTCATACTTCTTTGCAAACTCTTCTCTTTGCCTCCAGGGAACTGCATGAGTGAGTTCATGGGGCTCATCAAGGGCCACTATGAAGCAAAGGAGGAAGGCTTCCAGCCTGGAGGCGGCAGCTTGCACAGCATGATGACCCCTCACGGGCCGGATGCCGACTGTTTTGAGAAGGCGAGCAAAGCCAAGCTGGAGCCTGAGAGGGTTGCAGACGGGACCATGGTAAGGAGCCAAAGGAGCTAGTAAGACTTTGAATACAGCTTGGCACAGTGCCACTCTTAAACTACAGCCTAGTACTGTAGCATTTTGGCAAGCTGGAAAAGTACTTGGACCCAAGTGCTGCAGCATTCACCTCCCTTACTGATCAGCACCATTCAACTCCCAGGAGCTCCCCTGGAGACATACGATGGCAAGCGGCTTTGATCATCTGCCCATGTAAATTGTTGCCTGTGCAGGAAGCTGGGAATTTTCAGACTGATTAATTGAATTTTTGGACAAAGAAGCAAACCCCTTGACTGTCCTCCTGTCTCTACCCCTAAAATCTAATGATGATTATCAACAGACCTTGAACTAGAGCTTTTGGAAGAACATGGCTTGTCTGGGCGTGCAGGGAGTCCAAAGTCACTCCTGAGACGTGACTAATACCAGCATTGCAATGCCAGATAAGATCTTTCTTCCCTTGGGTTGATCAGGTTGGAGACATAGCCTGGCAGTGCTGGACCGTGCATACAAATCCTGTTTGTGGCAGAGCAGACACCTTGCCTGGATTTAAGCTCTCCCTCTCCTGCCCTAATCTACCTTCCCTCTTCCCAACAGGCCTTCATGTTCGAATCATCCCTCAGCCTTGCTGTCACCAAGTGGGGCCTCCAGACCTCCAACCGCCTAGATAAAAACTACTACAAGTGCTGGGAACCTCTGAAAAGCCATTTCAACCCTAAATGCAAGTAAAGAGAAGGTGCTCGCTGCTTGCAACACATGAGTGAAGGCAGGGAAATCCAGCATACCTACGTGTGATGGCACAGTCAACTCGGGCAATGCCGAGTGCCCTAGCACAGAACGGCACTTCCAGCAGCCACCGAGCCACGAAAATGATCATCCCTATGTAACTTGGGAAATGCAGCAAAAGAACACCATTATTCTTAACTTTCAAGTATCCAATTAAAGCTTTCCTGGTGCCACATTGAAGCTGAAGTACTTGCGTGTCTCTCACCATACATAGTCGGTGTGAAAGCTGCACCTTGTGTGGACACAAGGTGACAGTCGGCTCTTGTTCAGAGGGTTTTCAGAAAATACAACCCCATGTGTCTTTCACAGGGAGGAGCTAGGGATTGACAAAGCATTTCATACTGTCTGTATGGGAAGAGCTTTACAGAGCCGAAGGCTCTATCAGACCTAAGCCCCCTATTAGAGCAGAACACTTCAACCTGCTCATCTGTGGAGGGTTGCCAAAGGAAAGACTTGATTGTCAGAAAAGTAGACCACAAATGAAAAAAGGCTGGAGAATCCAAAGCATTTCACTGATAAGTAAGGGAAAGTTTCTGTTCCACACCCTGGCCATCCTTCAACATTGGCTCGTTTGTCAGCACTTGACAAATCCTCTCCGTAGTTCAGTGCTAATTTGCAGCATTGCATTGGTGGAGACAGAAAAAAAAGCCCCAAATAGGGTGGGAACCAGGAGGACAGCCCAGACACCTCACACTTCAGGTCTCTACCACGTACCCACATGAAGGTTTCTAAGCTTGGTGCCACCAGAATCTATGTTTCTTATTTCCCAAGACAAACAATTTTCCAAAAAAGAAGGAAATGTAGAGCTGCGACATGTAATTTCAGTCAGCTACATCTATCATCAGTTTTGGATCTGCACCAGATCCTTGGGAGGAAAAAAAGCATCAGCTCTGAGCAAAGTATTACATTATAAAATCTACACGGAGATGTTTACTCTAAAATAACCAATTCAGAAAAGGACGTTCGGGAGAATCAATTTGCCAGACAAGCTGATTTAATCAGACTGATTCAGGGATAAATGAGGTCTGAATGTTTCACGTGCAGAGGGGAAAAGCTTGTTTTCTGTTTGGGACTTAAATTATCATGTGGTGACCAGCAGGCTTGAATTTCTCTTGTATGGACATATCACTGAAGCAGATATGGGTGGTAACACATCAATCAAGGGTCAAGTTCCACAAAGCACATTTAATTCCCTGTCTTCATTCTACATATCTAAAGGGAAACTTAATTCCCTTTCCTTCCTCTATGCACCCAGCACCACTGCCTCAAACACCAACCCCACCTCTAGTAGCACGGCACATTCATTCCTTGCAAGAAAACAGCATGGAGAGTTCTGCAAATAATGAGAAAAGTAGGGCAGCATATCCCCCAGCACCACGCTCAAATCCACAGGGATGTAGCATCAGAGACTTTTATCTGCACAGGAAAGGGCTGTGGCAGGTGCCGCAAGCATCAATCTGAGGCTGGCCTGAAAGACCAGAGGCACTGTGCTCATCCACAATCCATCCCAAACCATCGGCTCAGCTGGCCTGAAACAAACACAGCTGCAAGGGAGAATTTACATGCGTGGCAACTCGAGCTGCAATTAGCTGAGGAAATGGGTCCTGGGAGATCAAATTAGTTTGTGGCAGCAAGAATAGTTAATTTAGCATGCGCAGACAAGCAATTATTTCTTTCCCTAAATACCACTCTCTCCATGCATTGATGCCTCTCTGCATGGATCCACAGCCATATCTTGTAATATCATTTGTGACAGTCTTTTAGAAGCTGTTCTGCAGAGAGAATAATCCAGGTTTGCTTTAGTTAACCCTGCCCAAGAACAAGCTGCAGAAACAAGGGCAAGAGGGTTGCTGGGAGCACATAAGGGATTGCAAAAGCAGGGCACGTCTTCGCACAGCTTCTGCACGCAGAATTAGTGCCAAACTCCACACGGGCTGAACGTTTTGCGACCCAGACAGGAAAGGAAAGAGCTACAACAGGAAACACTTAAAGAAATTATAAACAAAAATAAACTTCAGGAAGCATTTTTATTGCCAGGGTGACTGAGCACAGGCAGAGGTTGCCCAGGGAGGTTGTAAAGTCTTCAACCCTGGAGATACTGAAAAGCCACGTGGACATGGGCACCGGACAACCCACGTTAGACAGCCCTGCTTAAGCAAGAGGTTGGACCCAGATGACCTCTAGAGGTCCTTTCCAACCTCATCCATTTTGTGATTATGTGAAAAAGCTCATTAACTCACTCTGCTGAAGACAGAAAGCAAATGGCCCATATTTACATTCAGGAAAGCAAATGGCCCATATTTACTCGGTAGAGCTGGTTTTGCTGACTTAACATTGGCTGCTTTCCCAGAAGGCAGAGGGAAGTTTTCAACTTTTGCATCAGATTGAGCTTTTGGCATTAACCTCAACGTTTGGGAAGAAACCACTCCCATACAATGTCCAAAGAATGAAGGTTGTCTGGGTCACAATGGCACCTACAGGCCACTTGAAAATTCAACTCTGAATTAAAAATCTTTTCTCGCACTCACATTCCAGTACCTTGGCAGTAACAATTCCAGAGTCATCTATACCAGTTGACCTAGGTAGAGAAGTCTTGTGTTCTTCTAAGAATAAACAGAGGAGGCATCTTTGCAGGCACAAGGCTTGCTTGGTGTTGGTTTCTTGTTTTTGAACACAGCCCCTTTACAGGGATGAAACAGAATTTTCCTATACTGCAAGGGATCCAGTGTCAAAACAAAAATCTTTCTCTTTTACTTCTTATCTCCCACTCACAGGAATAACAGAATTAGTAGAAATGCTAGTCACGTATGGCATGACAACCTTGAGCTCACTGTTTCCAAATATGGTACTGTAATTTCATCCAGAAGTTTATTGCAATATACATGATTTAGGCTTGCATTTTATTAAGGAAAAGAAAAATTAATTCAACTTATTAGACCAGTCAGGCAGGCTCCCAGGTTCTTAAAAATGTATCACAGAACTTGCCTATTCCCAATTAGGGCAAACCACACAGTCAAACTGACACCAGGAAGAAATATCTGGAAGGCAAGCAATAGTTCTTTAGGAAAGTGCTTTGGTCTTACTTAACATTTTACCTGGCTAGCAATTCTAGACTTCAGCCTGCTTAGACAGCAACAACTTCTGTGGTTTAAAAGGAGCCTCTGTACATAGATCAAAAGAGTGCACTGGCCGAGTTTCAGACACTGTCTATCCATCTGGTTTAGATACAGAGATCCTACTTTATCACACTTTCCATTATTTTTAAAGATGCAAGACAACCAACAAGCAATTAAGATTTATTCTTATGAAGGAGAAACGTCAGCACATAATATATCTTATTTTATTTATATTCCATGAACATCACTGCAATTCCAGGAACTCAGAATACACTGAATGGCCGCTCGAATTTACCTTCTTTGATAAGCTTCTCTTTATGGTCCTGTGGAAGAAAAAGAACATTTGTTATTATTTTACTAGAGAAGGATTTCAATCAGCCTGGGATAAGAGAACAGCAGCTCTAGTATTTCAGCATGGACTACACAGAGACAGCACCATATATGATCTTAAGGGTCTTTTCCACTCTAAATGATTCTATAAGCACACACTCTGGTAAGAGCTGTTGTGGTTAAAAAGATAATAAGGCACTTAACTTCACCTACTAAAGACCTTCTCAGACTGACCTCACCTCACATCAAGCTACTCTTACAGGCCAGCAGAGACCAATTCCTGTGAAGTATTTTTCACCAAACTAGTTGTGTAACAGTTAATTTGTAGTACCTTAGTTTCTACCTCCTCCTTGTGGCTGAATAATCCAGCTTAGAGACATAATTATGGAGAAACTTCCTAATAACTTGTCTGACTGCTCACTTTCAACCCTTTCGTATCTCACTCTGCAGTCATTTACCTTTCTGTCAGGTACCATTACAGGACACTGCAGATACTGCCCAGATTCCTTCTGCTGGATAAAACCAGCAGATTTGCTTAAGACTTAGCAGTGTATCTTTTGCTTTCCCAAACAAAGAGCAAACACTTCTCAGAGAAAAATGTATAATGATTATTGAGCGTTATTTACTATCAGAAAAACAAGAAAAATCCCCAAACATCACTAAAGGAACTGCAATAAAGGAAAAGAAATTATCCTGGGCACTAATTAAAGACCTCAGTATGACTGCAGAGGTACTGAAGTCTCAAAAATATTCATATCGACATGCTCAGCATGTTTCCTAAAACCTGTATTTTCAATTCATCCTAGCAAATAACATTCCCTACAAAGACTCAATTTATGTTAGTGACTTGATCTAAAATGTTACTTCTGTGCAAAAGAGGGAAACAAAGAATATTTTACCACAGCTCCAAACTCTCTACAAAAACCAGCCACTGTATGCCAGTTACCTAGAATTTTCTTATGTATGCATAAAGCTGAGGTTTTTCATAATCATCTACCATTCTCAGATTCTGATGTCCACATTCTAGAAGTTAGAATGGAAGAAAGATAAACCTTCCAAAATCTTAAACAACCAGCTGAGGTCAGGCACTGCAATCAACATTATTATAACTCCTCCTGATTTGTTTCATGAGATTAGAGAAATAGTCAAGCAATTGCACTGAGACATTGATAAGTCTGTCCTCCATAAGCTTCCTATTTAAGTTTAGAAAGTATAGGTAATGCTTATCAACCGCTGAAAATAAGAGTCTCTCATGATTAATTTCCACTATCAGTGCTACAGAGAGCTTTATTACAGCAAAACAGCCTGATCGGGCAAACTGTGACTGGCCATACCCCAGCATACAATAAAAGGCTCTCAGAAAAACAAGACTTTGCAACCAGTTACGAGGCTTTGAGATAGCAGGCTCGGTATCAGTCTTCCTTCCCTCATTACTTTAATGGTATTAATCATTCTGAGGTGCAGATCTATACCTCACAACCCGGTGTTTTTGCTGTTCACCGACGTTCGGTGTCGCCAGATGACTTACCCTGTCAAGTTTGAAGACAGCGATCCAGAAGAGGATGGGGCCTATCGCACAAACAGCTCCTAGGAAGGACGTCTTGGGGGTTGGGCGGAAATTAGGGTACACGTTGTGCGTCCTCGCATAGACCCAGCGGATCATGGCGGGGTCTTCCTGGGGTGCAAAGAAAACCGCGGTGAGGCCTGCGGGCCCCTGCCATGGCCACTCCACCCGGGGGACGACGGGAAGGGCACCAAGGTCACGGGGAGGACGGGCAGCGTCCCGCCGGCACAGCCCCGGGCACGGCCCCGACCCCAGGCCCGGCGCGGACCCGCCGGGTGAGGCCGGACGAGCCCGCGCTCCCCCCGATGCCCTCGGCCCGCGCCCGCCCCCCCCCCACTCACGATGACGGCGGGCGGGTTTGGGGTTGTTGAGCTGCAGGCTGGTACTGCCGCTTGAGCCGGGCGCGGATGGCCAGGCGCTCGGCCTCCGGCGCGGCGCTTCTCCGGCGACGCATCGTAGGTGTCGGGGTCGAGCTCGGCGGGCAGCGAGACGTAGGCGTTGGGCCGGTACACTTCGGGGCGACGGAGGCGGCCCGACAGCCATCTTGGACCCGGCCTGCGGCGCCGCCTCCGCCGCGCCCCTGCGGCCCCGCGGGATGGCGGGAGCAGCGCCCGCTCCCCTCAGGGGGGCTCGGGGCGTGCGGGGCACCTCGGGGCGGGTGGGACAAAGGTGGGACTGCAGTCCTGTTGAAAAATGTGGAATACGTAAAAGTTTTCTTAAGGAAGGCTGTCCTTTGATGTTTGATCTTTGTATGCTTTCAAGCCTAATCAACGAGAAAGGAGATTTAGTCCGCGAAACGGCAGCTAACAAGCTCAAAGTGATGTCCAGGTGTTGGAAAAACGAATTACTTGTTGGTAGAATCATTAAGGTTTGGGGCTCGACCTGTTTCAATGATCTCAGGACTACCGGGATGTTAACAAAGCTTGGGAAGAAGGACGTACCACTGACGGTGGATACAAAGAATGCAGAATTTACAGGCCACAAGGACATTTGGCAGAGCCCCCAAGATAAGGAAGAAACTAATAAAGGCAGCTTGGCAATTGTGCTGAAATCAGCTCTGACTGGGTTAAAGGTGGTTCTGGAAGGGGCAGATCATGACCACCAACTCAGGGACCAATGACCCAAAAAGCCCACTGACTCAAAAGAAGTGAAAGACTGAGCATGTGGACATAACTAGCATGAGAAGCGAGAGAATCATTAACCAATAGAAGATAGAATAATAATTAATTAATGCAATATATTAATACTAATTAATAAGAGAACTAGGTAACTTGTAGCCACTGAACATTAATGCCTTTGCTTGCTAAAATGTATAAATGGTGAAAAGTTTTTGCTGGCTTTCTGGATTTGCAACTGTTTCTGTGCAGAACTGTAAATAAATCAATTACCTGGACTCTCTGGATTGGCTTCTTGCATGCCGGGTGAAAGAACCTATTTTGGGACAATAGTCCCAGCGGGTTGATTTCCCTATCCCCCGCAAAGAAGAGGGCCTTTGGGAATGAGCTGGTCAGGGATGTCGTGTTGTTTGCCTGCTACCTGCTGGGAGACAAAACTGGAGGAGCATTGCTGCAGGGACTTTTGGAGCCCTTTTCAACAGTATTCCTATGTTTTAGAAAGCATAGTTAATGCACATCAAACTGCTGAAAATAAGAGTCTCTTACAATTACAGAATCACAGAATATCCTAAGTTGGAAGGGGCCCACAAGGATCATCGAATCCAACTCCTGGCCCTGCACGGGACCATCCCGAAGAGTCACACCATGTGCCTGAGTGCATTGTCCAAACACTTCTTGAACTGTCAGACTTGGTGCTGTGACCACTTCCCTGGGGAGCCTGTTCCAGTGCCTGACCACCCTCTGGGGTAAGAACCTTTTCCTAATATCCAACCTAAACCTCCCCTGACACAACTTCAGGCCATTCCCTCAGGTCCTGTCACTGATTGCCAGAGAGAAGAGATCAGTGCTGGGTTAATGACTGGACCCAGTGATCTTAGAGATGTTTTCCAACCCTAATGATTCTAAGGTTTTGACTTTAGGAAGTTTCTTTCTTGTTGATATTAAAGGCTTTGTTCTCCAGAGATGTAGGAAAATATATGCAAGTTGTTTTTCTGGAAACAAAGTTGCCAGTAAACAAGTTTTCTGTTTTTTTTATTTCTTCTGATATACAAAACAGTGATAGCAGTTATGCTGATTGGGACCAAATAAGTCAATGGCTGTGCATATATAGTTATGGCCTGATTTACACTGGGGTAACTCTGCAAACTCAGGTAATGTTGGATGAGGGATTACAGTTTCCTCCTAAGCACACACAAAATAATACTGTTGACTTTATTTAAAGATGCTGTGCTTTGGCACTGCAATAATAGAACAAAAGCTCTGCCTCAGATTTTCAAATTTCACTCTTCTTTTTTCTAAGCACTTGGAAAATCGATGATCGCCTTTTGGTCTTAGCAGCTAATTAGGAGTTGTGACTTGCTTCTAGCAGGATGAAATACAAGTTGGATGTTCCTGAAGTTCATGTACCTTGAGCACCTGCACACATACACAGCAGGAGGTACTTTTCCCTCTCTCAAGTGCAAGCCTATAGTCCTTTCAGAAATCTCTCCTGCTGTTTCTCCAGCTTTTCCACCCTCATTTTCCTCACAAACATGTGGCTGCAAATCCAAGTGAAAACCAAGCTGCTTCATTCACAGTCAGCTCCCAAGGAAGTACTTACATGCCCTTTTTCTTTTTTCCCCAGTTTTCAGTTTGGGTCAGTGACTCCCGCTGCATGGAAGAATTTACTCCCTTTACTTTCCCATTTTGTGACCATCGGATTTAATGATCTCTGTGTCCCCAGCTCCACAATTGTCTCTCTCCATGACCAGCACGTGGAGAGCTATTTTAGCAGCACAGTACCTATACCAGCAGCACTGCCATGCGACACTCCTCTGGTACTTTCATCTCTGAGTGTTTCCAAAGACTTGGCAGCCTGTGTTTCCCAGCCCATATGTGGCTTTCTTCTTTAAAAGCTATTCCTCCCTGCTCTGTCTTATTTCTTAATAAATGACACATGGAGCCTTGAAACAGATTAATTCCTGGCAGGAGCAGGAGTGTAGGTTGGATTAGCAAACTGGGAAGGGTTAGCCACTCTGTGGGAAATGGTGGGTGTTTTTCCCCTCTTTGTTGCATCACAGAGTGGAACAGAAAACTCCTGTTCCTGCAGATCTCCCAAAGGACTTTGAAACAGCCAGATGCTTTTCCCCGAATCTGCTGGCTCCTGATGCCTGTCTGTAGTGGTGTGAGACAGTTCCTATGGGCAGGAGAAAAGATGGTCATGTGGTGAAGTCACTTGGCAAAGGCAGCAGGTTCAGCTCCCAGCCCTCTTGCAGAATCTTTGTCCAAGCTGTGCCTTCTCCCTCTCCCCAGAGCTCATAGCTGTGAGTGTGCATGCTTGGCATGCAAACAGTGCTGAAATTAATTCTACTGGGAGAAAAACAGAAGGTATAAAGCAACATTTCCATTAACAACGTAATGTACTGTATTGGAAAATCGAGCAACCAGCTGCTGTGCTGAAAACACCTTTGCATTTCATCTCTGATCACTAACTCATTCTACCTCCTGAAGAATCAAGGTTCTCACAGGGAGTGTTTTCTGAGAGATGTCACTTGTTTCATGGGGAAAAAAATAACTAAATCCCTTCCAGAGAAGCATATTCTCTGACACTGAATCCTATACTTTGCAATTTGTTGTTTTCACTCCTCCAAGGGTGAATTGGTGCACTTTCTTCATTTTGTAACAGCCATGTCTCTAACTTTAAAACACATCCTTCAGCAAAAGCCCAAGTCACCAATAGTAAATGTCTAAACCTTGCATAAAACAATGCAGGATAAAGACAGAAATACTGCAGTCAAAGCACTTGACTGAAATCAGTGATTGTTTTTTCTCCTGCTGACAGGGACTGCTGCACAGAGTTAGAAATACTGTGATGACAAACTGTACTCCTGTGCAGACCTTCTGCATCATCTGCTCCTTCTGGACCACCTTTATAGCAGACTGAACACAGCCTGCCTGCTATTGCAAAACCACCTTGGGAACAAAAGATTTTGCAAGAATGAACAAGACCCTTCTTGTCTCTGTTTTTGTCAGCCAGATCATGGAGCTCATTTGACTCTTCTCCTGACGGCTGGTGTTGACCTAAGGAAAGCAGCGGGAATATAAAACAAGCACTTAGGAGAGCGGGGCCACTCTCAGCGGGGCAACACAGGCTAGAACTAGAACATGCTGGTCATAAAACCACATCCTTTTGGGTTTATGCACCAAGGCTTGACAAGTAAGACCCCAAGTGTTTTTTCTTCTTTTTATCAGGGCTGATGCTTACTGAATGTTCGAGATTGGCAGTATTAAATGAAATGGACAGTTCTCCTATGAAAATGCCTTTGAAGTTTACATCATCTGTTTTCTTTGCCATTAGCAGTAACCAAAATGGAAAGAACCAGTCAAGACAATTAATCTTTGTCCAGAACCCTGTGGAGAGTTGACCTTGACTGGCTGCCAGATTTCCACCCGGCTGCTTTCTCACTCCTCTCCTCAGAAAGACCAGGGGAAAAAATTACATGGAAAATCTCATGGGTTGATATAAGTGCAATTCCTAGGAAAAGCAAAAGCTGCACAAGGGAGCCTAGTAAAAGGAGGAAATCATTCACTACAGCCCAGTCAGCAGACAAATGTCCAGCTACTTTAGGGGAAGCAGGACCTCTATATGCATAGCAGTTGCTTGGGAAGACAGATGACATCACCACAAATGTCTTCCCATCGTCCTCTTTTCCCTCAGCTTTTATTTCTGAGCAAGACATCATGTGGCATGGATATCCCTTGGGTTCTTTGTAGCAGCTGTCCCAGTTATTTCGCCTCCCAATCTCTTGTCCATCTCCAGCATACAGTCCTTTAAAGTTGTGGTGGAGTGTTGGAGGGAAAGCCTTGATGTTGTGCAAGCACTGCTCAGCAATACCCAAACTTGGTGTGTTACCAATGCTATTTTAGCTACAGATGCAAGGCACAGACCAGACAGACTGCTGTGAAGTTTAACTCCATCCCAACCAAACCCAGTACAAAGCCAGCTTGAATACTGTCTGACACACCACTGAATTTCTGAGATCATTCTCATATAAATTAACCTGAAATCAGACACATTTCTATGACACTTTTTGATTGAAGCTGCAAATAACTTCCACCTTGAGTTTAAAGTAACACCAGATACTGACCTTCAGTTTAGAGCTGTGTGATTTTTCTGGTGACTTTTTAGTCATGCCCCAAAATACACAGACTGAATGTTTAGACTGTATACACAAAGTCACATCTTTTCAGTCACCAGAATAAGTGACTCTGTTCTTCAAGTGAATGAGAGAAAAATTAACTTTATTCACAGACCTGTCTCCAAGGTGATCATGCATAACACTTTCAGAAGAGACAGGTTAAATGTGCTGTCATCTCAAAAAAATACTTGTGCCTGTCAAACTTGTGCTGAGTGCTTGCAATTGCTCCATTTGCATCACCTGTCAAGCTGGGTCAACATGCTGCTGGGCTCTGTTGTGAATTCTCACTGACCTTTTGCAAAGAAAGCAAGCTGGAAAACAGGGAAGAAGCTGACAAAGTCATTCATATCACAAGGAGGTTCCTGAACAGAGGTCCCTTACTTCTAGTTCCCACATGTAATGGGCAATAATGGTCATTTGTCTCCTGTTCCTATTCCATACAAGCGAATAAATTCTGACGTGTGTGCTGCTGACCTTCTTCTGAAGGGGGATCAGTATCAGGCATCCATCTGCAGGGATATATCCATGGTAAAAAGCCAAATGGATACAGAAGGGGAGCAGTGTAAGAAGTGTTAAGACACAGCATAGTTTATCTGAGCTCAGAACAAGCATGTCTAACTGCAGCATATAGGTATGTTATTAAGTTGTCCAGATAAATGTAATCCGTTCTGCATTAAGAACTGAGGTCCCCAGTATCTTTATCTTATAGTTGTTTAAAGGAAGCCTGTCGTGCAAATGAAGGAGTTAACGTCGTTAGGGGAATTACAAATCATTAGTACATACAACAGGCCAGCCATAACTGTGTATCAAGTGTTGAGCTCAGCAGGACTTAGTTACAAAACCAGGACACTTAATGAGTCATAAAGCACCCGGAATAATGAGAGATGGCATTAAACAAGCCATTTCTGCCTCTCCTTGGCTTGTCCAGAGACGGTGACAAGAAGCCCTCTGTTGTTTCAGCTTTTCCTGTCAAATAAAATTTTCGAGTCACGGTGAATTATAGCTGTGGCTGAACTTCTTGAGCCAGGGAGCTGGTGCCTCTTAGGCGGCCCTGGTGGGAGAAGGAGAAGATGACAGCAAGCATCTTGTCTCCACTCCTTTGCAGGTCATTGATTTTACCATTTTGGGTATAATATTCTTAGGTCTCCCTCTGCTTCCAGCTCCTTGCACAAGAAGCTATTAATAGTCATGTAACATTGAAAAGTGGGAGAGGAAGAGGTCTTAGAATAAAGTAGAGTGGCAATTAAAAAGCTGAATGTCTCAGGGTAAGTCCTGTTATTGGTGAAGTGTTAGAAGTGCTTAACCAGTTAAGTGGCAATGCTATTCCTAGACTTCCCTGACGATGGCTGTCAGGAACTGGGCTATTCCAGCAAGCTGTCATTGCTCCAACCAGCCTTCTCCTGACTCTCCGTTACTTGCTGGCTCACGAGTAGCATTGAAGCTCAGATCCTTGACCTTAGTGCTGGCCTGAGCTGTGAGAAATGTGTGTTGTATCTCACCTTGGCTCGAGTTCCCAGCTTGACCTTAGACCTTCCTTGTTACTTTGGCCTTGCCTGGACATCACTGGGCTGTGGCTGGTCATGGTTATTGCCACTGGACCTGGCCCCGGCCCCATCACCTTGTCTGGCTCCCAGCTCATTCCAGTCTTGCCATCTCTGAGCTGCATTTTCACTCATGAAACAGTGCTCAACCTCATGACCATAGGGAGTGTGTGTGGTGCCAAGGGTGGACTCATACTGACAACAGCAAAAATTCACAAAGCAGTTGCTAACAAGAGCCAGTGAGAGGAAATGCAAGTGTTGCAGGAAGTGGCTCTCACAGGGTAAGGGGAGGCATCTTTTCTGGCCTGCTGTTCCAACACAGATCACCACCAGCAGCTGATGTTTCTTTTTCCCCCATTTCTCCCCAGGTGTTTTGTTCTGTCCACAAAAGAAAGGATAGATCTGCTTCATTCAGTTTGAGTATTGAAAAGTAGCAGTGCCTGCTGGGAACTCTGCCTGCTTCTCTCTGACGTGATTGAGAGAATTTTGGATGGTGAGTCCTCCTGCCCTAAAACATATCTGAGACACTGCTAACAATCTCCTGGAGATTCATTTTTTCCCTGTGGGTTGTGGAAAGAGTTTAGCATAGCTCAGATACTTCCCAGCTCCCTGAGTATCCAATATGTGACAGAGTGCTGCATAACCAAATGTTATGCAGCCCTTATTGCACCTGGAGGATGCTCCTGTAAGTGCCTCCCAGACCCACGGGTAAAACCCTGGACTTGCTGACAGCAAAGGAGAGCCCTATGAAAACGGCTCTGGCCCACAAAGCCTTCAGTTTCCCTACAATGCCTCACTTGAAGTTACATTATGGGTTTGGATGGATTTCCTTTCACAAACAGAGTGTAAGGAAAAGCCTGCTGAGTGAAGACCCAAACAGGATGGGCCAGTGAAACTTTAATCCCCAACAGATATGACAATCCTGCTTCTCAAGACAGAAATACAGTGCCCCGAGAGCTGGTTGGCTGTTAGGGCCTTGGCCAGTCATGGTGGGGTCCACTCAAGAATACTATTTTGGAGGGGGCCTCACTTTGGGGATCATCCAGTCCAAACTTCTCCACAGCATGAAATTAATTTTTAACTGGAGAAAGAAGCAGGACCTTATAGAAAATGACTCTTTAAGAAGTCCCAATTTTTTCCTTTCTACAGGAAGACACCCAAACCCTGTGTGAGGAAAAAACTCCAGCCTGAAATCTGTGATAGATCAGCTTTGAAGGAGAGGCAGCTCTCTCGTACTGCTACATAGGAAAAGATACTCACTTTGTTTTCCTTTCTATATTTTGTTGGAAGTCTGGGGCTTAAATTTTAAATCAAGTCTTTGGGAACACGCTGTGAAGCAGACCATCAGTATGAATAAAATATGTTAGTAGGGACATGTTGAATTTATTGTGACTGTTTGGCAACCTCTGTTTTGCAGTGAGGAAGTACTTAGTTGTGGCAATGCAGAGTGGAGATTTTTTTGCTGAAGTAAAAGACAGAATACAAATGAGGCTGTTGCCGCAGAATGCCAGCTAGCGGGAAAGATACACAGTGTCCAGCCTGGGTATTTCAGTGTTTAAAAAAAATGGTGGTACTACTAAAACTTGAAACTTCTGACCTATAGAAATAGAAAAGCAGAGCAGTGCTTTCCCTGGGCTCCTGTTATCATTGCATAAATCAGGAATATTCATTAAACAAGAAATAGCCGGTAGCATTGCAGGACCCTGTGTCCATCAGTTTTCATCTGCCTTGTTGGGGAGAATGGGTAAGGCAGCTGCAAAGATTAAAAATTGCCTCCTAAATTAATGTCTCCCTGCTTCTCTGGATAACCTCTTAGCAGAGAGGTTTGCTATTTGTATAAACCACTTATATTTACAGTGCCATATCACCCTAATCCAACCAGTGTAATTGTGATTTGCAATCCTTAAAGGAAAGATTTCTACCTCTGGTGTGATCCTTGTGGGGCTCTTTAGACATGATGCTTTTCCTGCTCTCCTACTACCCCTGACTCCATCGCCTTGCACGTGTCTGCTTCCTCCCTACTCACCTGCAGATGTTTTTGCCCTACCCAATCCTTCACTGCCATCACTGCTGAAGGGCTCTTTACTCTTGAACCTACTTCGACTTCCTCTGCCTCCTTCACTTGCTGCTCAGTCTTCTCCTTGCTCTCTTCTGGATGTATCTCACTCACTTTCTTCCAAGAATCTTCATTCAAAAGAAGATCCAGTTGTGGTGGCAGCCACTTGCAAAATACTTAACAGATGACAACTGCAACTTTGCGGTACTCCGCTCCCTGTTCCTTCTCATCTTCTCTGTGTCAAGTGATGTGTACATAGCACACTGGGAGCAGGGGCATTCATGTTCTTTGTCCTTTGCTTTCAGTTACTTTAGAGCCTTCCCATGGAAGGGAAAACTGAAGCCAATGGAAGTGCAAGCAGCCATCGTACTGCGTGCTGGTTCTCCTCAGCACATGAGGGCTGATCAGTTTCTACAGCCAGCCCTTCAGTTTTATAGAGCAGTGCAATGGTGAGAGCTCTGAAGAAGGACCCATCCATCTCTGTACTAATGCTTTTCAAGGTTAATCCTTCTTTTCTTTGTGTGAAATATGCTGTCAGGAGTGAGTTTTTCATTGCTCAGGCACAGGCACAATATCCCCACCTTCTGTTGCTGTGTTGGTCTTCCTGCAAGCTCCGGGGAGGCAGCTCCCTCTTGTTCATGACATGGTCCACCAGCCACTGCAGTGACCAGAGCTGCCCCCAGCACATGGTCACAAACTGAATGAGTCCATGGCAAATTGCAAAGCCTAGTTCTGTAATGTCTGTATCAGTCTTTCACGGCTGGCTAAAATGCCTCTTCTGCCAGACCCATTAATAGGGAGGTTGCATTTCTCCATAATTTCCCCGAGGACTGAACACATCTCATCAATTGAAGGAAAAAAGGATGGTGACTCACACCTCAACCTGCCTAATTGTTTCCAGGATAGTCCTTCCCACCAAGGATTGAGAATGTCTGGGGTACACCCAGAGGAGAAGCTAATATGCCAAAATCTGTTTGTCTAAAATCCAAACAAATATTTGAAATATGATAAATTGCTCATGCTGCACAACAGTTGCCAAAGTCAAAATGCTTTTTCTTTACAATTGTATGACTCCTCCCCAGCACAGAGCAAATCTCCATTTCCCATCCCTTTGCTTTGCCTTGTGGGGCTGTGTCGACTTCTTGACCCTTCCTTATTTTATTTCACTGTTTAAAGAGCTTGGACAAAGCAGGAAAACTGAGCTCCTAATCTTGAAAAACAGCATATTTTTTAAGATCAGTGAAATTATGAAGCGTTGGTTTCCTTGTTCTTAGACATAGTTTTTGCAGATGGACTGCAGGGGTGAGATGTGCTCCTGAAAGCCATGCTACCCTTTTGTCAGGCAATGATGGAAAAGGTTTTTTGGACCTGCAGAGCAGTCTCAGAGCAGAGTTACCTCTGGCTGTACTCTCCCACCTCTGACAGTTGTCAAGCAGTTGACAACTTCAGTTGACAGCTTATGGACTTTTATCATATTTTCTCACAGCACAACTTCTCCCAGATACGAGCATCTCTGTATTGTCTGAGTGGACTTATATTGCATTTGGCACCAGCTTTATCAAACGTTGGATGAACCTGTCCAGCAGCACATCTATATTTTTTACAAGATTTGGGACAAGTTCTTCTGACGTGCCTCTCATGTGGTATACTGCTTATGCAAACTTTTTAGGTGCACTGTGCTGATGCACAGGAACACAACTGCAAGATGTGACACTGTGGTGGGAGGTCTCTTCCCTTGGACCTCTTGAAGGGAGAAACTGTCACTCACTGCATTATCTTGACCTTGTTCAGAAGCAAAGGTGTAAAAGTATTTCTTGGTCCTACAGTCCAGACAGTCACAGATTTGATCAGGACTGAGTTCAAGCAGTTTCCTACAGAGGGCGGCCCTAAGGAGGCCTTGGGGCACAGCATGCAGCCCAGCTTCCTGCAGGGGGATGTCCCTAGCACTTTAGGGCTGATGATGTTTTTAGCACTGGCTTGTCCTTGCCTGATACCTTATTCTTGGAGAAAAAGAAAAGTCGGGATTGGATGTCCCTTGGACAGAACATTAGTTGATCACAGCATAGATATTTTGAGGCAATTTACTCTGGCAAAGAATTACTTTCTTGCTTGAGAGTTGCTTGTTGTTTGTGTTCTGTGGCAGTGAAAGGCCAGGATGTGATGAGGAAAAGGTGGTCTTTGGTTCAGAGCAGGAGTGAATCACCAGCTCCACAGCTGGAATTGCCCTTTCAACACTGTTTGACACCCTCCTGCTTTTATGGCCTGACCCTGTCTCAGGACTTGAAATCTTAGGATCCAGTCCAGAATTTCTGAAGAAGTCATCAGTCTTTCCTAGCAATGAGAGGTAGCTCTGAAAGCATAGTGGGTTAATGATGATGGTGATAAAAACACCAATAAAATAGTCTGACAAAATTTACCCCAACAACCACTTTCACATATTTTCTGTTTTGATGCAACATTTCTGTTTTATTTGGCAGAAACAGAAGTATTCTCTCTCCTGTTAAAAAAATATTTTTGTTTGTTTATTTTTCACTTCTTTTTCTCCTCTTTATACCAGTTGCTAAGGGAAACAGAGGAGTAAACAAGAAAGAAGAGTGAGAGGAATAAAGGGAAAGAAAACAATTCAGGTTTTGTTATTTTGGATAAATTTTTTCAACCAAACTCAGAAATATCATCATGATAAAAGTACAAGAAAAACTCCTTTCAGCAAAAGCTGCTGGTTCTCTGTGCTTTCTCAAATCAATTCCTGCTGCATGGTGTGTCCCTGAGTGTAGCAAAGGCAGACTAGCATTAGGTATGAAGAAAATGTTGGCTCCTGACAACAGTCCTAGTTCAGTTTTAGAACTGCAGAAAACCAATGGTAAACAGAAAATCCTAGTTATTTTTTTGACAATTATCCATAGCTGCTGTTTCACTTTACAAAGTAACTTTAGGTTGCTCCTTTCTGCATTAGTGACCAAAGCCTCACGAGATTCTACGTAGACTGTTCTGGTTGGTTCTGCAGTGTGCTGGAGTCCTGCTCCAAGGAACCTTCAGCTTCCTTTCCTGAGATGAAATCAATGAAGCTCTGCAGAAAGCAGGAGGTGAATAGCAGTGATGCAGCAAAACTGTTTCCTAGACAAAGGAGGTCTTTTCTGCAAGGGTTCACACTGCCCTGCAGAGACCAAAAGAGAGTCAAAACAAGCTCTGTACTCCTTTAGACATTACCAAACATCTTATAGCAAAACTGTTGCTCTTTATTAAGCTCTAGAATACTTTTCCACTAGGTAGCCAATAATTATGCAGAGCTAAATGGGGAAGGGAGGTTGAACAATGCAGTCCCAAACTAGGAAAACAGTGAAGGGTTCAAAAAGGAAGGGATCTCTGATCTAATTCCAAACTTAATATATGTTTTCAAGATGTGTCTCAGCTGAAGCAGTAAAAGTAATAAGGATCAG